AGGCACCATCCCCACCCCTGACATGACGGAGGCACCATACCCACCCCTGACATGACGGAGGCACCATACCCACCCCTCACCTGACGGAGGCACCATCCCCACCCCTCACCTGACGGAGGCACCATCCCCACCCCTCACCTGACGGAGGCACCATCCCCACCCCTCACCTGACGGAGGCACCATCCCTACCCCTGACATGACGGAGCCACCATCTCCGTCACTGACCTGATGGACGTCTAGTGAATCTAGGAAAGTCAAAACTAGGCTATTATGGCAGCTTTCAGACAGATGCACCTTAAGTGTCTGAAGAAGGGGCACTTTTTCCTCATTTGCATAAAAGTGCCATATAAGCATGAACCTGGCTGGCTTGTTGATTCTTAGACGGCAAGTCTGAGCCGAAGAAGCCAAGAGATGAAGGTGGGAGACACCATCTCCCCAGAGTAGCCTCATTGGCCTAATGCCCGCCTCTCCCAGTAACCGTGGGCATGCCTCTTCGGCCCCTAGACCCATCTCCCCGTGTAGATGGGACATGGGGCAGAGGCAAGGGGGTGAGTGGGTGGTTCCTGATGCTGAGTGTCTGTCTCTGTGCCCCACAGCCTCTGGAATAACCCCATCCCCTCTCACACGGCCCACCGTCTGCAGACCCAGGAGCCCAGGCTGGTCTTTGACTTCTTTGAAGACTCTCCTCAGGCCCCGTGAGCACTTGATGAGTCCCTCAAGACTCTTAGGATCCAGCTAGCCGATGTCACCTACAAAGGCAGAGGGCTCAGGAGGACCTCCGCTGGTGCCCTGGCACTGCCCCAAGTCTGTCTTGCTGCAGCCCTCAAGCAGCATTTTGTTGGGGGGAACCAGAAACTTTGTATGATCAAGAGTGTGTCCTGCATCATGGGGACATGTGTGACCGGTCGGGAAAAGGCGGCATGATGAGGGTGCCACAGATGACGCCAGGGGTCACGTGGTAACCCCGTGACGTGGCAACACAGGGGGGTTGGCATGGTGGCACATGGAATAGAGCACATGTGGCCACGGGTACACCACCCAGCGGAGGGGCAGACATGACAAATGAGGGTCCCTGGTGGTGCGATGGTTTAAGCATTTGACTGTTAACCTAAAGGTGTGTGATTTGAACCCAGCCGGCTCTCCACAGGTGAGATATGGGAGCACCTGCTTCCATCAAAATTGTTGCTGCTGTTGTGGTTGTGTGCTGTCGAGTCGGAACTGTCCCATCTCTGACCCTCCAGCGGGTTTTCAGAGGCAGTTAACCCCACGAGAGCAGAGTGCCCCCTCCTTCTCCCGGTCTGTAAAGATCCCACCTCAGGAGTCTTTAGGATGTGGCAGGCCCACTTGGCCCGGGGGGTTGTTCCAAGTTGTAATGGACTTGGCAACACACAACACTACAACATGTTATATGACACATGGCTGGCCAGACGCCTCAGGCTGGTCTAAGATTAATTTATTACTTTTTTTATTAGAAACCAAATGTGTATTTATAACTTGCATGTCCAGAGCACCTAACCCATGAAAAGACTTCTTCCTCTGAGGGCTGGAGGGGAAGGCGTCCGAGCACTGACCAGCCCAAAAGCTGCAGGGTCCAGAGTTCCAGGTCTTTGGAAGGCCCTTTTACTGCCTCCCATCTCAGCTTTCACTTCTCTGAACTGAGGTCCTCCTTACGCGCCGGTTTCCCTGGACTGTGGGCGCAGGTCCTGTACAGCCAACTTGACCATATGAGTGGACATGATGCGTCCTCTGTACAGGGTCACCCGAGGAGTCCAGGGAGTGGCACTACTGAGATAGTCAAGGTCACTGGGTGCAGCCACTACCTCGTGGGATCCTGCGTGCTTCCAGGGGTGGCACTTCCCACACAGTATTCTCGCCACCTCCAGAAGGGCCCAGCCATGCACTAAGCCAAGTTTCACTAATAGATGTGAGGGGTCCCCCAGCATCTACTCCGAGCCTGAGGTTTCCTGCCAAGCCAGTCACGGTCAGGAGTCCTCCCTCCGCCACAGGACCGAGTGGGCTGGGAGGACCTCTGGCCTGAGAGGCAGAAGACCGATCTGGGCTCCGACCCTGTATCTGTGGCTTCTCGCGGGTGTGGGCAAGTCCTGCCTCTCTCGTAACATGAGCGTGGTGTAGACATTCACAAGTGTTTGAAACAGTTTTTTTT